ACAAAATTAGTGAAGGAAAAACCAGAAAAACAAGAAACACAAGACTCTGTTGCTCTGTTCAGCGTAAAATTTCATTTTTCCTGTTTTTTTTTTCGTTATTTCTGGCAGACCCCCTGGATACGCACTAACTTAATGAAAGAAGCCAAAAGATGCCGGCATTTCTCTTCCACAGTTCCAACTTTATGTACTAGCATAATACCGGCGAGATTCCATTCGAAACTTCCGGGAAGAAAACTTTTTGGCTTCCTGGCCTAGTTTCATACTTTATTCCATTCTAGTAATCCTCTCTTCCTCGTTTTCCAATTTGATTTCTTCCTTTTCTAATGTATTACGTATTCTTCCTCCTTCCTATTCTCCTATCACGATCGTTTGTTCCTCCGCAACGTTTTTCAGAAAGTAACACACGCCCTGCTGAATCCCTGAATATCTTTTCTCAATCAGAAGAACATCTCTCTTAACCGGTTTCAGACGCTGATTCTTATCTTGAAAATGAATGATTCTCTGAAAAACGAAAAAGATACGACTACGACGACCTTTCTGAAGTTGTTCGTTTTTCAGATATTCTTTATGCTTCATCATGATTCTACTTTTCTTGCCTCTTTCAATTCTTCATTCTTCTACTTCTTTTTCTAATACCAACGCGTTCTTTTTCTTCTTCCCTCCTCTCACTTCTCCAAATTAATCCGTACCTTGTATTCGTTTCCATCATCTACATGCTCTCTCCACACTTTAATGACTTGAGGCGCTGCCCGAGAGAGCACGTCCCTTTGAAGCTCCGCCCCTCTTTTCTTCAGGGCTCCTCCCCCACTTTCGCGCATTGCGAAGCACTACTAGCAAGGGAGGGGACTACTGTTCTTCTCAAAGTGTATACATATTTTTATGACATGTCTACTTCTTTTTATCCATGAGATATAAACATTTATTTTCCATGATCCATGGATCTTGGTTATTCTTCTTATGATTCTTAAGAACAATTTTACAAAAATTTCAGCCAATTTCAATTTTCTTCTCTTTCTTTCTTTTTCTTTTTTCCTCATTCCTCACATTTCTTCTAGTTCTTAGTTTTTCCTCTTTTTCAGTTTAAATGCAAAGAATTCAAAGTTGGTTCGACCAGCTGACACTCGGACGTCAGTCACGTCGCATTTCACGGCGCCGTCGAAATCATTCTCGACAGCCAGACGATCCTCGGAAGGCTTCGTCTCCTTCCGTTGTACCTATGTCTTCGAAACGAATTGCTCAGCCTACAAGAGCCGCCTCTCATAGTGTCGTTCGGCATTCCAGAGATGAGCTTAAACCACTACCAGGTACGTCTATTTTTGCCCTGGAATGCTTTTGATTCGAGAACATAAGGCACATTGTTTTAGTGATCCTTTGAAGTATCTCGAATGATTTCATAAGTTGTTCAAAGAACATGGTCAAATACACAAGTCCAACCAAACAGTAATCTTTTTCTCTTTTTCTCCTTTCTCCCTTTGAGATCTTTTGATTTACCATTCATCTTGATCCCATGATAAAACAAGTGTTATGTACTCAAATCATCAAAAAACTTTCTCCGATTGAATCAAAAACTAGAGAACACGTAACCTACAACTTTTGCTCTCAAATGATGGTTTGTTTGCAGTAAGCATCGCGTTCCCACCGCCACCGATATCGATGCCTCCTCCAATGATAGTGTCAACATCTTCCAGTTCCAGTAATGGATCGTTTCCGAGACGAAATGTAAGTTTTTCAATGTATTCTGAAAGGGAAAAGGGCAATGCATTTTTCTTTTTCGAAAACTTCTAACTGGTTGGAGAAGAATAGAGGGGAAAAGTTGTAAGAGTTGATGAATTATTCACTTGATAGCTGTCCAAGCTTTTTGTGGCTTTTCCCTTTCGACTTTTTGCTAAACTTTCTACTTTTTACTTTTTTTGGGGGAAATGGAACCTCATGGAAAACGAAAAAAAGTTGCAGAGAAGGGGTAATTGAATTAGAGGGTAGTCCCAAAAACTGATTCTGAAAGTTCAAAGTTCTCAAAATAAAGTTACAAAAAGTTATATTTCATATATAACCGATCCACGCTTTTTCCCTTTCTCCAAATGTGCATAATCCTTTTTCTTGGCTCCTCCGCACCGCATCTAATTCCATCACATACACACAGTCGTCGTCAGTCGACTCGTAACCCGATTATGTCTTCTGAGGAAAACGAAGCGAAAGAGACGGGACCCAAAAACGATATAAAAAGATGCAAGAGTGCGATATGCAAATTCTTTACTTACTCGGCATCTTTTTCCGCTTTTCTTCATTATCTGCACTCTGATTTTTATAAATATAAACACTCAAAAACTCTAGAACCTGATGATGACGGGGGTGGGAATGTTGATGGTGGCTCATAACAATAAACAGATGGCACTTTTTTTCAGAGAATTCGCACCAATCCATGGATAGGGGAGAACAAAATGTGGGAGAGCATGACAAGCAGCATGGGAAGAACCACAAATTTTGTCAGTTTGGGTATTCGAGGATTTTTAAGGGAAAATGAAATTTTTCAGGAGTCAAGTGGAAAGAAGAGAGCTCCGGCGCTTTGTGTTGTCAGTCCGGATACTAGTATGTGCAGTTCAGGATACGCATCTCATGATTCCAGGTACTGTGAAATCCCAGAACCCAAAAATGTTCCGAGCATTTATCTTGATTCTCCCTATTTTCCCCCTTTTCCTCCTCTTAATCCTTGACATTAATTGTGCTGCAAAACAAACATTCATTATGTAATTATCGCTATAGGGACAAGAGGAAGCTAACGGGGTGTTGACTTACCAGCGCCTCCTGGTAATGTGATCGACAGATGACACCCGAAATGAACAGAAATTAGAAACATGGGAAGCCCTTTTTAATGTTTAGCCATGAGTCAGTGTTTTCGTTGCGAAACGTTTTCACTTCTAATCCATCTCTATCTCAACGCATTCAAAATCTTATAAATCTCAAAAAGAGAGGGGACCCAACACTCGAGGGAGCACCACGAGTTTGTAAGCTCATCCTCTCCCATCCCGAACACCCGTCACACAATGTGAACACACTCATTTATCAAATCTTTCAATCTCTTCTCTTTTCCCGATTTATCTCGCTTTTCGTAATAAGTCCATCTTTGGAAATGACATGAATACGGCACAATTACAAACTACACAGTCTAGGGGAATTTCGAATTTAGTTTATTATTATTGTTGTTGGCGGCCACACACAAGAAAACGTTCATCATCAGAATGTGTCCTATTGTGGTGGCGCAACACTTTCGAGTACACTTCAAAACCCTCATTTTCCAGTCCCGACACTTCAATGGTCTGGTCGAATAGTGCAGATTGGCAGAAACATTATGACAATGGAAATAATATATATCACGAACTAATGGTGAGAGAATCATACCAGGACCTGCGATCATATTTGTGAACCGGGAACTGCGATAATTTCTTTTAGAATGATTATTTTTGGACCAACTGAATCAGACATGATGGAACTCGACGAGCATTACAACATTATACTGTTTGGGAAACTGTAACTTGTCTATGAACAAAGTTATAAGCCATTAAGCGGCTGAACCGGACCGGATTGAGCCCTGCTTGTTTTTTTTTGCCTAAAACTTTATCCATAGATAAGATACAGTTTTACAAAAATATCATTTTGTAGTGCTCGTTGAGTTCTATCGTATCTAAATTATGTGCTTTAAAGATAATAATTCTGAAAGAAAATATGGCAGGGCCCGGTTTACAAGTATGCATACAATGATCCATTTTCAGAGTGCGTCTTCTTATCACTCTGTCTGTCCAACTCCAAGTCCTAAACACGAAAGAGCTGAATCTCCAATTTACTCTGAACCATGGACATCAGCCACTGGTCCAATGGTAGTCAGAAACAGAACGTATCGTCCCGCATCCCCAGTTTATGCTCAACCATTCTCCGAGAATTATCATAGGGTCTCGCCACGAAGGAATTTCAAAGAGATGACAGATGATGAGTTGGCAAGAGACGAATTCCTTCATGAGCTTGATCAGCAGATCCATGAGTTGCAGGTATGTCTAATATTACCAGATATGTATTGGAAAATAGTTGAATTTCAGATGCGCTCCGAGGAACTCCGAGAAATGGTCGATCGAGCACGCCTTCAACGGAAAGAATTCATCATTCCAAAAATGGAATGCACTTTCGAACTGGCTATTTGATCTCCCATTGTGTATTTTTTGTAGCTCTCATAGAGCAATGTCTTATATGAAATGTTGCAAGAATACGGTATCTACAGTAGTCATCTCCCCCTCTTTTTTTTTGTAAAATTAGCAATCCGTTGTTGTACAATCTTTTCCGGTTCTTCTTATCTCCTTTCTCCCACATTTGCCATGATCGGTTTTTCGATGCATTTTCTATACCGTCTCTTTCCTCTACAAAAGTTCTAGAATTTATTTGTGAATTGAATCTCTCCTCATGCATTCAGGTGGCGAAGTGTTCACCCGATAGTTTTTATTTTAAAGTTTCATTTTTCTACTATTTGCAAATAAAGATTGTGTTGCTTCAATACTAGTAGAAACCAGAAAAAGTATCAAAAAGAAGAAGAAGGTCGATAACACTCAGGGGACCCGAAAAGCCACAGATAGCAAAATCATGATTTATGAGGGTCCGGAAAAGGAAAAGAAACCGACTAGTAGTAGGGGGACTCTTGAAACTTTTGTTTTTCGAGAAGGTCACATTTGACAAAATAACTTTGAGAAAGCAGTGCAAATCCTAATGCTGCATTCAAAGAGCATTCCATAGAGAAGACTCTAATTGCAATCACATACATACTACTCTCAACCGCCCGTCTGTCATCTAATCCGCTTTCTCTTGAAGTGCTCCCCCATCCGTTCGCCTGATTGCGCCACTAATTCGTTGCATAGACGTTCGTCTAGTTACTACGAGAATATGGAAGAAGGAGAAGAAGTGGAAGATTGAAGAGAAAGTAGTTGTCGATTGAATTTGAGAGACGATAAAATTAAGCTAACTTCGTTTTCTGGGATTTTCTTAGCGAAATTTCCACACATTCCCGTTCGAAATTGTGAACAATGCATAGGGAATAGGATGGATCTTGCCTGAAATTCAATGAAACAGATAGACGCAAGTTTGAAGCTTTAAAAATTTAATCTTAAAAATACTTTTCACTTTTAGTAAACTATAAAATTTACTTGAATTTAAGATTACTTGAATCTTTAAGATCAAACTTAAAATAATTATACACTGACCATGGATTGTTTTTGATAAACTTCCGGCATAATTTCGTTTCCGTCAAATCCGGAAAACGACAAAACTTGAATATTTGGAATCGATGCATTAATTTGGTTAGAGTTCTTCAATGTCTATAACTTTTAATAACTTGGTCATCAGCTGGTAACTTCTGGTCAAAAAGACCGACCCATCGCCTAGAAGTTTCCTCCCGAGAAACTTGTCTTGAATGTCACATCGTACTAGTTTTATTGTGTTTTTTATGTGCCTGAATCGAGTTTGGTGTTACCTTAGAACTCTCCTAGACCTAATTGTAAGTGTTCACTGTGTTCTTGACCAGATCTTGACAATAAACACTAACTCGGGTGTCATCATCAACTTTTGGTAGGATTTTGGTTAGATTCCGGATAACACCGCTAAAGCTGACCAAATTCCGACAAACTCATGACAAGGTTTTGACCTAGTAGTACTGCAACTTTCAAATTTCTACCGAAATCTGATAATGTCCCGCTCTACAGCCGTTTTTGGTTTCGACCAGAACCTGGTCATTAGTCGTCCGAAACTCCTAGACTTTTGATCAGAAGTTACATACAAGCGAAAAAATATTTTTTGTTCACAATTAGGCGCTTCCATCAGTCCCCGTATTACTGTAGATTTATTTTAAGTGTTCACCATGCTTCCAAACTTTGACAAGAAGCATTCAGGATAGGATCATTCAAAGAATCGAAGAACTTTTAAAAGCCATTTTATTCAGGAAACATAGGGAAAACGAACAGATGTGTTGTACAGGATGGGACAGCTAACAGGGACGAAAAGGAACGGAAGGGAAAGGAAAAGGATACTAGTGTTGAAATCGAAGGGTCGGAAAGAGATCACAAGCGGAGTATTCAAAAAAGCATGGGACACAGAATACAGAAAATATATTTATTGTGATTTATTGGAATTCGGCGAAAGTAAGAAATTGGGAAGTTTTTTTAAAGTAAGAAACTGATTTGGGAGAGTAAAAAATTCAGAAAGAAGACTGATACATTCATAGTCTTGTGGGTTAAAGTTAGTTCGAGATCAATAAAAGAATTTTTTTAAAGTGCATCAAAAAGTATTATGTTACATCAATATAAAAGAATATAGATTGGGGAATGAATGGACTCTTTAATAGTTAAGTTTGCCCAAAAGTGTGTTGTATTGGGCGCTCTGCAAGAAGCGAACGTATGGATCGTTACGGAGGACCTGCTCGACGTGTTTGATGGCCTCATCGAAGAGAGTGATATCGATGTTGTTGTCCTGGATGCGACGTTCGATCACTTGACGCACTCCGAATGGAAGGAACACCTCGTTGGCAGTTCCTTCAGCCAAGTAAGTGTTAAGGATAACACGTCCGAGATTGTTCATGGCGCTGGCCTTGTGGCGAGTTGATCTGAAGTTTTGATTTTGTGAAATTTAGACATTTTGAAAGCCATGAGCTAGCAATACACCTGATAATTACGAGACATATTCTTTCGAAAAAGTTGTTGCCGCTCTTTCACTAATGATGTGATACTGCATGCCTACTAAAAGTGCATATAAAATATCAAAATAGAAAAGTGCAATGAGTCAACTAATCCCTCTTTCTCTCTTACCGAAACTCGACAACAGCTTCCCAGAAGCGGAGATTCTCTTCCGCGTGAATTGAACGCAAGAAGAGACGGAAATGATGGCGTCCGACATGATTGTTGAGGAGACCCTCGAAGCTTTGAGCCCACTTCTCAGCATAGGAGCGTGGAAGAAGTTCCTCCAAGTATTGAAGATAAAGTTCCGAACGACGGAAACGTGGGAACTGATCGTTCTCCAAAAGTCTTTTGACCTCTTTGATTGCCGGTCCCATTTCTTCCGGATCGAGAGTTTCGGTGTTGATAGCGTTGCGCAACGCCTTCATGGATCCAGAAGACAAGTTGATGGATCCTTGGTAGGTGTTCAAGGTATCCTTGGCAAATTGAACCTTCTCGTCTCCGTTCTTCATCTTTTTGAGACGCTCCATTGCCTCGAGGAATCCCAGATTTTCTTCAGCGAGAGATTGGAACAAGAAAACACGGAAAAGCTGTTTCCCTGAATTTTTTTTTGTTGTTATTGAATACATCTGAAAATCTATCACAATACCTTTGTCATCGTTGAGAACATTGGTGCAATTACCAGCCGCCCAGCTTGCAGCACGTGGATACTCGACACCTTCCGTCGATGGCATCGGCGGGGCTTCGCGATTCGATCGTTCCTTTCCGTCAAACATTCCGGCGATCTAAAAATGTGCTGATTTAGTTTAGAGTTCTCAAGTGGAACACCGAAGTATTGTGCACACTAGAAGAACTGAGCAAAAAACATCCACAAACCGAAGATGGCATCTTTTTCAACATGCTTCGTGACATAGGAGAGCTAGCTAATAGATTGAAAGTAAAAGTTTTGGAGAGAAAAGTGGTGAAGGGAAAGAAGACATGATGGAATCCGAAAGGATTAAGTGAGAAGAGCTGCTGTATGGAAGATTCTATTCAAGCCACAATAGGCAGGTGATTATTCAAAAAGAAGAAAAGGAGGAAGGCGTGTCTTCTGGATTATATCTTCAGATGAATATAAATTATGATGTTATCACCTACCGGTTTATTTGGATCCACATGCCCCACATTGCTCACTGTCATCTGCCGAACGAGCTTATTCATGAGGACTAGCTGCGGATCGGGGCTACTAGACGTTCGCGTTCTGCTCATAACTCGTCGGAAGCGACGCCGAAGGTAACGGAGAAACTTTCGTGAGACTAAGAGAGCGAGAAGGCAGATAAGAATGCGTTGCTCGGGGCGACGAGTCTTCTAGCTTTCACTCGTCGAATATGATAATTTTTATTTGGAGTAAAAGAAGAAGAAGAAGGGAAAGGAGAGTAAGAAGAGAGGAGAAGGGAAGAAGTCTCTCTTTCGTTTCACTTCTCCTTGTTTTCAGTTCTCTCGATTCAACTGGCACCTCTAATTGCAACACCTTGTCATGTGCTTCTGAGAAGGGAAATTATAATGTTTTGTTATTCAAGTTTTGATAAGTGTATAGTACAATTTTGATTGTTTTTCCGTCCTAAAGTGCTGATTGTGAGTTTAAATATAGTATGGTTATCTTTGGGATGAACCAGGAAGCAGGACGAGGAACAGTTCCTTGTAGATCTCTAATGAATAGACTGCTTTTGGGAAAAAAGGAAGTCATTATCTTGTCTAGACCTACACCGAGCAGTGGCGAAGATCGACCAGATTGAGATTGAACACAGGTAACAGGAACCATGACTCAACAAACCAAAAGTGGTGATTTCAACAAGATATATTCTGACCAGAGCCATAGAATAACATCAAGATGACAATAAAGTACAATCAGATTTTATCTACTTTGTTCGAGATTCGAATATTCAAAAAAGAACCAGGAAGCAAGAAGGGGAACTTTCGAGGACTCAGAAGCGATAGAAATTATTTCCAGATTGTGGGGTTTGTTTTCCATAAGGAAGTACGATTGGATTTTTTCTCATGAGAAAGTGACGTCGGATTGTCAAAGATGTGATGTTTCGGTGAAATATGGAGGACTACTGAAAAGGTTGGAAATCAGCCAATTCAATGAGAAAGAGGTTTTCTCGGTAGACGTTGTCCTGTAATGTGAGACACAAACGAAGAAAAGCATCCATCCGGTCCTGGAAGCATGGAAAGCGATTTCAAAAACTGCTTGACATTTGATCCGGATTTGATCCGGATAAATCTTCAAATTCAGAAAGATGATGAAGCGCTTGTTTCAGGAGGATTTCCCACGGTCGGACTGAATTTGCTCTACAGAGTGCACAACTACCCGGACTGATAAAAAAGGATATATCTTCAAAGGTAAGTACATTGGAAGCACGAAAATTGGTAGAAATATGATTTTACGTTTGATTCAAGGGTACTGAAATTTTCAGAGCAATACCTCAAGTCATGAGTGTCCAAAAATGAATTTTTTCTTGCACGCCGCTGTGATTTTCATGAAATGAAGCAACTTTGACAAGCGATAACTCAGCTTCAGCTTGATGAAATAATTGAAATCTGTTTGATTTACTGCTCAATTATTCAAACTTTCGCACTAAATTTGAGAATAGTACACCGCTTCACTCAAATTTTATGCTAGTACGAACATTAGTCCTGCGCCATCCGTAAATAATGACGAAAAAGCTGAAATTTTTTGAGCAATTCTCTTTCAAAATATTGGCAAAAACCCAAAGTTTTCATAACGTTAAGCCAGACTCCAACCGCAAAAATGAGATATTATAATCTTCAACTTATGGGCTTAAAAGAACCTTGATGATCTCGCCCGATAGTTTGCTCGTATACTCATAGATGAGAGCACAAAAGATGAGAGTATCGTGTCCTCTCTCTTCTTCCACAAGCCAGACACCTGATTTCTTGACCCTTCTTAGAATTTGAGTTGTTTAACACATTCCGAAGAAGATTAAACTCTCAAGATAAACCCAGGTGGATTTTCGTCTGCTACAGTATATCGAATTATGACACTGATCGGCATCCCAGAGATAGAACCCTCACTGGACTACCCATCGACGACGTATCACATCAACGCAACCTACAGTAGGATTTTTTAGCTGAAGTCATGCTTGGGTGTTTTCCATGAATGGAGCTTATAATTAGGTAGTTTTTGTTTTTGACTTTTCGGTTATCAAATTTCAGATAAACATCCCGATTTTTGGCGTTTTTAATTCCAACTGACCAACGAGTAAGTGGGTGTTTTCAACAAAGGTTGTTATGGTGCATTAGTTGAAATTTCAAAGCTAAAAATGGCAAATAAAGAAAGAAAGTCATGCTCTGTGAAGGGGAAAAAATCAGAAAATGAAACTGGATGGTTTTCCATAGTCTTGAATGAAAAAAGGTAAGACGGAAAACAAGACTGAGCCAAGAAAAAGACGAAGACGACGATAACGACTTCATATGTGCAGGTGCCTTTCTGGACGACGCCATCGTTGAATCTCGGAGAAAGTAGGGACGAAATAGTGTATGTAATCATGGAGACGGTGACTCGTGTCCGGCTCTCAAGGCGTGAGAGAAACAAAATTGGATTGGAGCCGACGATGAATTGAATTATGATGGGATCAAAAACAACATGCAATTCCGGAGGTGTGGGATTGGTGAAACTCACGAAGAAGTTGTTGGATCCGGTGGATGGAGTTGGAGACGTGGCATTGGATTTGGTTGTAGGTACACGAAGGGTGACTGGGGCTTCTGGGACAGAGCTCGCGGATGTTACAGAAGCAGAACGGGACTTGCGTCTGAAAAAGGAGACCGTTATCAGGGAATGTTTTAGGAAATCCTCCTGAATTACCAATTAGCTAATGAAAAAATTAATTTTCTGGGTTGATTCACAAAAATTTTGGATACTATCGTATTGTAGAATTCATTGCATTGCAAACTAATAGTACTACAATGTAGATCAAATTTCAGTTTAATTTTTGAATTTTCCTCGACCAATCGTTGTGGACAGTTTTGAAAACACAGCTCATATTTTCTTTCCAACAGCTCACATACCGTAAACACTGTGCTAGAATGCTTGAGCCACGTTATCTCGGTTCCTGTAAGCGATATCAAAAAACGTTCAACTGAAAAATGTTTATCATAATATCAAACATCCTTTGTCGGTTGATTAATTTTTTATATCTATTACTGCAACCGAAATAAACTGACTAAAAGCTGAAAATTAGGGGGTCGTTCTATTACAGTCTGTACGGTATTTTATTCCAAAAAAACAACCAAGACCCCTAGACCATTCCTCTACCATTCTCCTTTAGAGATTTGATCCTTCTATCGGGTTCACTTTTATCAAACAATCTTTGTAGCTTACTGCCACTACAAAAACTATTTATAAAATGATCAAGAAGACTTTGATGAAAGTGTGTTTTGTTGAACTCCCACATAAATTTTTATAGTCCATGATCAGACAGATTAGAATTATTTTTTAGTTTACAGTAGACTTGATATTCGTAGATCTTTGATATTACACTTTTATATAAAGGTCCCAAATAGGTTTTTATTTGGGCCAGTGGAAAAATGGGTCACAAGCCTCCCCTAGCAGCAGCGGCTCTCCGTAGGCCCAACGGCGAGTTTTGAGCCACCGGGGCGGATGACCCTAAATGGAACCCGTAGTCTCGAATCACCGTAAAACCTAGTAGAACGCCGCCAAGATATCAACGTTTACCCAATTTATCTTCCGTCCTGATATAAATGTTTTACAGTGATAAACTGACAGAACGTTTTGACATTATAATAAACATGTTGTCAGTTGATAACTTATCCGCATACTGCTTAGGAACCGTCATAAATTGGGTCAAATTTGAAACTGTTGAAGCCCTTCTATTCAAAGATTACTGTAAGACTAAATCTCCATTTCTAGTTTTGCGGTGTTCCCAGACTTCGAATTTTTTGATGATTTCTTTTTTGAATTCCCTAGTTTTCTCTTATCAACAAAAAACACTAAACTTGTGTCTTCAACAAAATTTTCAAATAACAACCAAATTGTCACCATGGCAACGGCAGGGATTCAAATGACAAAATGTGCATTCAGAGGACTCATGTGACCCCTTCCGAAAATCATGAAAGTTCAAATAGGGAAACACATTTCGAAATAAATTATGTGGGCCACTGGGTGCAAACTAGAACCAGTACAAAGAAAACTTGAAATTGGGTTTCGTTAAGAGAACGATTTTAGTATACCGTGTTTCTTCTAACAGCAGCCCACCCAACCCGTGAACTTTGAGCTCAATTATCTCGATTCCTGTAAAAGATATCAGAAATATGTCAATTGATGAATTTCTTATCATATCATTGCCAATATTTTATCGGTTGCCAAATGCTTGATATCTTTTACAGGAATCGAAGCAATTGAGTTCAAAAATGACGGTTTGGGTGGGCTATTTTTTGAGGAAATACGGTAGTTTTTTGTCGAAATTTTCAGAGACTGCCTTTTTGTTCTAATTGGTGTTCATAACTGAATTAGTTTAAAGCTGATTCTGATAGTGAGCTCCTAGGGCAGAAATATACTCATGGCAACTTAGAAATGTGTGCCATCTACTGCAAAGGAATCAGATCCCTGGAGATTCTTCAAGCAAACCGACAAGCAAGTCAGAATAACTGTTTTCAACTTTGAATACGGTGAAAATCTTATGATAAACATCGCGATGATGTGAGAGTTAGTTTTATAGAACAACAAAAAACCTCTTGTGGTGTTTTTGTCTTAGAAAACTGAATACAACTGACTACAGACTACTAATGTTTTGAACTACAGTAACTGTAACCTCTCAGGCACCCATGAGAGATCAAGGAAGTGGTCTTCTAGAAGCGGACAGTAAACTCATGGAACCGGAATGTAATTCAAAAAATAATAAATATTTTTAATGAGAAAGACCTATATGAAACAGCTGATGAACTCGGATGACTGCGCTATTATCATCATAGGCACCAATGCGCCATACGGTTGAAATCTATTTATGGGTGCATTTTGTGCTCATGTGATGTTTATATGATGCGAAACTATGCCATCATGATCAATTATTTACGCTTAAAATGATACACTCACCCTCCCGGAACATGGAGTTCATTCGTATCATCTTCCGATGATATGTCATAGAACTCGTCGCGTTGCTTCGCGATATCGTTCTTGCTCCCGGAGCGCCGAATATTGAGATCTGAGAAGTGACGAACTGTGGGCTCAATGATGAGATCGTTGAAGAGAGCGCAAGGAGAGAGGGATCTACTACACTTTCCAGATTTTTTTCTGGTTTTGATATCCTTAGATGTTGATCTAGTCCTGGTGGTGGTTCCGATGAGCTTCACAGTTGGTATGGGGGGATTATCACTCGACAGTTTCACTGTATAAATAAAAGAGCAGGTTGAGAAGAGACGAAAAAAAGTAACAGAGTGACAAAAGAAACAGATAAGGGGAACTGATGACAAATTGTTGTTTTTCAACTTCTATTTTCTTCGCTTTTCTCTTAGTTTTGCGCTTCAAATGAAGGCGTGGTTTCCGCCGTACGGTGTGTGTATATGGGTGATTAGTCTTTGTGTCAGTGATGATAATGGAAGAAGAAGAGGAGCTAGAAAAGAGAAAGAAGAGATGCGGAAAAGATAAAGCTAAATAAATGAATAGCTGTGTGGTTGGGATGGAGATGAAAGAGAAGACGCTTTTTGGAGCAGCAGCACATTGTGTGCGTGTTTGTACAAAGTTGGAAAAGTGTTTGGGCGGAGTAAAAATAAAGAAAAGGGCGGAGCCTTGGTGTATAATTTTGAGAATACGGTGACTTTTTCCCGAAAAAGTTTGCAAAATCGTTGACGTCAATGCTCCAAGATCTCTTCTAATTGGCCCCTCCAAGGAGGGACTCCAACCTAAAATTTCTTTTGCATTGAAATGTTTTTAAAGTTATGTAATTTCCTAATATTATTGCGAAAGAATTTTTGTAAAAATCCGAAATCCCCGAAAACCGAAAATTTTAAGAAAGATGGCAAATGGGGACGAGGATTTGAGTTCCCGCGCAGTGAGAAACCTAGGCCACCGCGGCAAGCCGGTTTTTTAGGTGGCATTTTCCGAATGTTTATCTCGAGTACGTAAAACATCTCCGATACGTAAAAAAACCACTGTCGGCCAGCGGCCTCTCACCGCGCGGTAGTTCAAATCCTCGTCTCATTCAATTGATAGATTGATAAGGATGAGAGTTTACAGAAGATTCGAAATTCGAAAAATCTGAAATAGAAAAAGTTCAGAGAAAATAATTGTACTATTCACTAGTCTAGACAAATTTTTAATGTGTCAACACCTAGCAACTATAAAAAAGGTGAAGTGTTCAAAATCTAGAATATAAGCTCCTCCTCCTTTTTTTAAAAATTTCACATTTCGTCAGCATAAACGTCATCTAAGACGACGTGGCTTATCACCAGCCCGCTCATTACCCACATATTCAAAACCTATTTCCGCATCAAAACGCACGACGTCTTCAAGCGAACTGAGCCGCCCCGTAAATGGCATCATCTTTCAATCGGTCATTTTTTAATCCTCCTATTTACTTGAAAGGTGGCTCGGAACTAGGTTCAGTTATGATGCCGACGACGTCACAAGAATTTCAGATCGTTTAGATGGATTAGATATGATACATGCCGAGTCAAATGTTCTTTTTCTACGCGTAATTCAAGCTGATGTCTCTGGGATATAGCTCAATTCAGTGAAATTTAGTTTTCGAACATAAAATAAAAGTACTGTAGATTTGAGGCTTTCTTATCTCCTACCGTATCTATTGATTTTTTCAAAGCTCACACACACACACATATATCAATTTGGAAAGGATACGAAAAGCTGCTCGCGTCACTAACTATGTGTTTGAAAGAGCTCGAAAAAGAAAAGATGATAACAATATATAATGAGAAGTGGGACATTGCGAAAAAGAAGAGCGACTAAAAATAGGAATTGTGAGAGACGAAAATAACTGTTGTCAAGTTGGTTTTCGGAATTGCCAAATAACAAACTTGGACTGACGTTGATAGGGGAGTAGGCTCCTGATGGGGGGACCTCTTGTGATGAATGAATGAAAACACATGATTCCAGAAGGTGAGATATGATAACAAACATTATGAGGAACTAATTAGAAAAAGGATGTGAGCGATATTCATCAAGAAAGCCAAGTTCCAAATAATTGAGTCTAGAATCATGACGAAGATGAGGAGGAGTTATTAGTCAAGTTTCATGGAAAACAAGTTTGTAAGCAAAAACAAACATCACTGACTAGGGGGTCTAGAAGTTTTAGTTGCAACTAGAAATACTGCCCACCCGAACTGTCATTTTGAGCTCAATTATATTGATCCCTGTGGAAGATATCAAAATGTTGTCAACTGATAAAATATTTTTGATATTATGATAAATAATTTATCAGTTGATCACTTTTTGATATCTTTCACAGGAATCGAGGTAACTGAGCTCAGAGTGGGTGGCTTGGGTATGCTTCTATTAAAGGAAATACGGGAGTTGAAAGCTCTCACTGAAATTAAAGAGTGTTATCTTTTATACTGAAAAATTTTATCAAAAAAGAGCTGAAGTGGCCGATCACTATTATTAATGTTTCTAGAATCTGGTTTTGAAATTTCATACATATTCGAAAAAACTGAATAACTTCAAGCGATGATAACGAGAATCTGAAGACAAGCATTACTTGTGAATTAAAAATATTCAATGCACTTGAGCAAGCACAGGTGGTTGAAACAAATCTTCATATCTCACTGATCATTAACTGAATCATCAAGGTTTGCAAGTTAGAATTCTCATCTACACGAAAGAGGGAGTTAGACTTCTGAATTTGCTTACAGGAACGTTAAATGTTATCTCTTAATATCTCTTCCAGACTGTTTCGACCCTTTCCAGTATTTTTTTTCTGTTTTTTCAAAAAATTATCGAGGTCAATTCAAAACAAAAACACATTTTTGCCAAATCAAAAGCTTCCTAGAAACGGAGTGACGTTGAGAAATACTTTTAACAAAAAATTCTGAAATTATTTTGAAGTTTCAGAACTTTTTTCAAATGCGAAAATACCATACCAAATGATAGACCTCCGATAACCTCCGATAAGAATATAGAAAAATTATTTCGAAATCGGTATTATGATCCGGTCCGTCATACTTTAGCCGGGCCGACGATCTTTGCCCGGCCCGGCTATCAAATGTCGGCCAGCCGGCCAGCGCCGGCCCGGAATCTGTCCGTCAATCAGTATGCCGTAAATGATCTAATAGCCTGACAAAATATTCATCATAACAATAAAAATACTGATCACTTTTGATAATTTTCACAATAACAGATTGGCTTAAAGTTTAAAGTTAGTGGTGACATTCTATAAGAAAATTAACGGTATATAAACATTTGCTTCAACCTACAACATTTTCTTCTCATTACTCAAGAGCTATGCAAGTTAAGTAAATTTTTAACAACATAAATGGAGGTTTCCATACACCTATTATCTCTAATAAAAGCCTACCCAAACCGTAAACTTAGAGCTCAATTATCTCGATTCCTGTCAAAGATATCAATAATGTGTGAACTGATAAAATATAGGTAATAATATGATAAATGTTTTATCAGTTGACAAATGTTTGGTATCTCGCATAGAAATCAATGTAATATAGCTCAAAGTTGACGGTTTGGGTGGGCTTCTATTGGAGGAGATACGGCAATTTAAAATTTTCTGAAGGTTTCTGTGGTGAAAAATCTGAACTCACTCTTCTTGTTCCGAATCCGAACCATCCGATCCGTGAACATTCAGATCTACTTCTTGCGTTTCATCGGAGAAATCCGGAGTTTCGGCTTTGTAAGACCGCCACATGCTCCGATGACTCCTGAAAAGAATTAAATGAAAGAAGGGGAATAAGGAAAGCTGAATGCATTCTTCTCTCTTCGAGTCTTCTGCTTTCCTCTGATTCCTTTTATATTTTTTTTCTCGATTGTATCTTATATATATACGGTAGTCACAAGCTATAGTCACCTGGCACAGACGAAAATCCAATTTTATTTTTTGTATCTGCGGATAGGAATCCTCCCCCGCCGTCCTAGAGACACGGAACCACACGAGGGCACACTGAATGCTATGCCCTTTTTTGTTTGAAGGAGCAGAAGAAATAAAAAAAGAAAGCGTCAAATCCAGATGGGAATCTGCGTTTGCGTCTGGGTCTCGCATTTCTCCGATAATTCACTCCCGACGCCTTCTGGAAGGCAACCACCACAAATTGTGTGAGTAACCATGGAAATTTTTTTCCATCAAGACACCACCGCTTTTTATTAACTGACGCTTTGAGTGATGTGGAGCTATTTGACTATGAGAAAGTGGGCGAATCAGAGAGTTGTGAAGACTAGAATGTTTGAATGTTATTTTTATGTTTATAGCTGTTCGATCCAAATAATTTTATTTATAGCAATCGAGTTTGAATTCAACATTTAGCAATTATATACGTTGAGATCGTTACATAGATCAGAATACTGATTTATTGAGGAAAATCCAGTCCTTTTGAAGCCGCCACCCACTTGGGATCCAGAATATCATCTAGTTGAGTTATATCTGAAAAAAAATAAGTTCTTTCACTGAAGAAATGAAATTAGGAATGTGGAGCTCACCATCTGGTAACTTCTTTTCTGTCTCAGGATTGTCGATTTCTGGAGGAACAGGAATATACCACAGTGGACCGGATTCCAAATTTCTAGCCGGCTTCATGACGTCACAATCTTCTTCATCTGAGCTAGCCAAATATTCTGAAGGGCTCACGTTCATCACATCAATAAAATCGTCCTCATCATTTTGATTCTTGTTTGTCATATCTTCGTCGGCATCTTCGTCTTCCATATCGAATTCGCTTTCCTTCTCGACGTATTTTTCGTTTTCCTCCAATTCTTGGAATTCTGGTGCGAACGCCGACCAATTTTCAACACGTGCTTGCGTCCACAATGAAACGCCTCCTTGAGCAACTGACAATATTATCGGTCGAGTTGGGTGCCACTGAACATCCATAAGAGCCTCGCCTTTGTTCCCGTGAAGAATCTTAATCAGTGATCCGGTGTTACTCTCCCATATGTAAAGGGAGTGTGCTTTTGTTGATGCTCCACAAACGTACAATCCATCGCTATCAGTACATACGTTCTTCCAGGCCGCTTTATTAACCATATCTAACACTTTGTATTTCGCTTCAACAACTTGACCTTTTTGATGAATAAGATCTTCCAGTTCATATGTGCGAATCACTCTATCTTGAGTATTGGTTATAATGAAACGACTCTTCATTGGGACGATAATTTGTCTGATCTGTTGAACGGTATTTTGCTTGCACCAAGCCACGTGTCGAAGTGTTTCGGAGTCGTAAATGATGAGCCTTCCTTTTCCGGTTCCCGCGATAATGTATTTTCCTTTTCTGTCGTAAGCTACTGCGCTGACTGTCTCATCTGTACTGCCAGGTGTCTCGTTGACCAAAACTCTGAAAAAATGAACAGTTTTACATGTTTATCAATTATAATTTAGCATACTTCTGCATTCTCGGCGAAAACTGCTCAACTGTTGGTAGGTAGTTTAACTGAAGAATTATGGCTTTGTTGTCATCCCGGGGATGAAATTGGGCATATGTAACGGCACTTGTGAAACGAATTCTATGGAGCAGGGTTCCAGTAAGAACGTCGAAAACAGCTATCGTGTTATCGGAGGAACTGGTTAACAACTTCCGGCCGTTTCGAGACCATGACAAGCAAGTGACTGGTAAAGCGTGTGCAGGAAATGTCTGAAAAAAACAAAACACTAATTTCGGCATGGAAATCAGATTATTCACCCTTGACAAATTTTTCGTGATGAAGTCGACAACGAAAACTCTTCCATCGGTACATCCAACCGCAACAATGCTTCCCCATCGATTAAATTTGCAGCAATTCGCAGAGGCATTCTGAAATAACATTAAATTTGAAAAAAAGAAAATTGTTTAATATCGAACCTGTATGTCGAGTATACCTTCATGTTCTTCGGGAAACTGAGTGGCGAAGCTTCGGTCCAGAATTTCCGCCATTTCTGAAACGGAAGAGTCAATTAGAATGTTTTTAAAAAACTTTATTTTGAACCGAATTTCAGTTTACTGCAGTGCAAACTAAGTGAAAATTTGATTAAAATTAGAACAATCCCGGAAAAAGGGACTTTTCATGATCATGCATGAAAAATAATTTAAAAAAATGCCGCTGGCCTAGAGTACGCATCGTCCGCAGAGCACAGTCGGCTGTGTACTCCTCGCGGACTTATTGACTCACCCTGCTTTCTCATCATTTCTATAGATTTTTCTACCTTTGTTTCCGAGCTCTTTTCGTTTTTATCAACAGCTGACGTTTGACTGTTTTGCAGAAAACTTTGGGCAAAAATAAAAGAGGCGAACTAGAGAAATAGCAGATCAATAACCGCTCGCCTAAAACAGATTTTGAATCATTTTGTTCGCATAAATGATAGTGATAAGAAACGGGCAGCGAATTAGCTATTTATCATTTTGTCGCTTCTCAACTCGATCATTGTCCACTCAGCAATTCCAGAAAACTCCGTTGTTGTGCGTACTGGTATGTGGCCGACTATATAAACCCTAGCGTTGACCTAACAAACTCTCATTATGGAATATTTCTATCCGATCTTCGATTTCCAGCGTCCGAAGGTGGCTACGAAGCTAAAGATGAGTTCTACACCCCCCGAAATCGTTCCCCAGCAACCTTTGGATGCGTTGCTACTCAACAAAACTGATACCGAACAGGTTTGTCTCCAGCCACTATCTTCGATTTGACACTGTTTTTTTCAGGAAATGTTCCTAACAAAATACCCGACGTATGATGGGCGAGACATCCTGATTGCTATTTTGGATACTGGCGTTGATCCGTCGCTTCCTGGAATGCAAGTAACAACCACTGGAGAAAGAAAAGTGTTCGATGTAATCGATTGTTCCGGAGCTGGCGATGTGGACACTTCGGCAACAAGAACTGTCAAAGACAAAACAATTGAAGGAATTTCCGGACGAAAGCTAACTATTCCAGACAAATGGACAAATCCGACTGGCGTCTATCACGTTGGATTAAAGCCGATTTTTGAGTTGTACACAAAAGGAGTGAAGAGTCGAGTTGTTAGTGAGCGAAAGGAAGATGTTGTCGGACCATCGCATAATCTCGCAGCTGCCGAAGCTTTGAAAGAATTAGTGGCACATGAGAAAGATGTTGGAGGCACAAGCGAGAAAACTTCAGACAAGTGGACAAGAGAAGATCTTGCTTGCAAAGTTGACTTTTTGAAATCGATGGCTTCGGTATCCGATGTTGGACCAGTCGCTGATGTTATCACATGGCATGATGGAGACGTTTGGAGAGTTTGTATCGATACCTCCTTCCGTGGAAGATTAGGAATGTGCAATGTACTCGGAACATTTAGAGAAACTGGAGACTACGCGTGTCTCACTGATAAGGATTCAGTTGTTTATACTGTCAGAGTTAGTCCAGATGGAAACTTGACTGAAATCGTTGTCCCATCTGGTGCTCATGGAAGTCACGTTGCTGGAATCGCCGCGGCCAACTATCCCGATAATCCTCAGAAAAACGGGCTTGCTCCAGGAGCCAAGATTCTTTCATTGAACATTGGCGACCATCGTCTGGCGGCTATGGAAACTGGGCAAGCGATGACAAGAGCGTTCAACATGTGCGCTGAACTCAATGTCGATGTGATAAACATGTCGTTTGGAGAAGGAACACATTTGCCAGATGTTGGGTAGGTTCAAGGCGATTTTATATGCTATTTTAAAATACGTTAATTTCAGACGTGTCGTCGAAGAAGCACGAAGACTCATTGATAGAAAAGATGTCATCTATGTGTGCTCTGCTGGAAACCAGGGACCAGCTTTGTCTACTGTAGGTGCTCCAGGTGGAACTACGACTGGAGTCATTGGAATCGGCGCCTATTTGACTTCTGAATCGGCTGACACCCTTTACGGAGTATATAAACCAGTCGACAATAACATTTATCCATGGAGTTCAAGAGGACCATGGTGAGCTGCTCTCAGAACTAATTCAGATTTCGAATTTCAAACTTTCAGCCAAGATGGAAAGCTGGGAGTCAGCCTTGTTGCTCCGGCTGCTGCATTTGCCGGTGTCCCGCAGTATTGTCGCCAGAGCATGCAAATGATGAATGGAACAAGTATGAGCTCGCCAAATGCTGCTGGAAATGTGGCTTGTATGCTGTCTGGATTGAAACAACTCGATCTGAAATGGACACCATACACTGTTCGAATGGCTCTGGAGAACACCGCTTTTCCACTTCCCAATGTTGACGCATTCTCGCAAGGACAGGGAATGATCAAGATTGCGACGGCTTTCGATAAACTTTCTGAAATTCTCATAAACAAAGTTTTCCCATCAAGATTGACTCATTTCGAAGTGAAAGTTGCTGATCATTGCAAGAAATCAAAAGGAATCTACATTCGCGAACCTAAATTGAATGGTCCACAAGAGTTCACCGTTGGAATCGAGCCAATCTTTAAAAATCATCAAGAGGATAACAATTTGACGGCAATTGGATTCGAGAAACAAGTTATCCTGCAGTCCACAGCTCCATGGGTGTCTCATCCACAAACTATGTTTGTCGTTGCACAAGAGAGACCGATTGTAGTGACAGTGGATGCTTCGAAGGCGCCAAAAGGAGCGAGCTATGCCGAAATTGTTGGAATAGATACGGCTGATCCCTCACTCGGACCGATCTTCCGTATTCCAGTGTCCGTCATTGTCCCGGAGACAGTCGATGTCGATCGATACACTTCCAAGCTCGTTGGAAAGTCTGGTGCGCCTGAACGACGATTCGTTCAAATCCCATCGTGGGCTACAAGTGCAAGTGAGTTGACTTTACTTATTGCTCTCCTGAAAATTAATACATTTCAGAAATCACCTTGAAATCTACAAACAAGGATGAAATGGACAGATTCACACTGCACACCGTCTACATAGAAGATGACAAATGCTCACGAAACACGGAGGCCCAAAAAATTCAAGGGCCAGTTGGAAATGAATGGGCGAAATCGATAACCGTAAAAGGAGGAAAAACACTGGAAGCTTGCGTCGTCCGTGCCTGGTCTCGTGGAAAGACAACAGTCGACGTTGATATGACGATCGATTTCTTCGGAGTTCAGAAACCAAGCTCCATTGCTCTTGTACACGGATCAACGAACACTCCGATTCGTATTCAAGCAGCACCGACGAAGAGCATTGATGTTGCTCCAGCGATTTCGCTTACCAATTTGGTTGTGTCTTTGAAGCCTCAGTCAGCGAAGGTAGAACCACTAGGCGCACGTGATCTGTTCCTCACATCTGGACTCCAAATCAACCGCCTCCTTCTCACTTATCAGCTTAAAGGTTCCATTTTATTTCAACAACACTCTTAATCTGTACCTCGTTTCAGTTGCTAAGACAAGTGAAGTTCAACTCGAATTAGGTGGTTTGACTCCGTATTTGTACGAGTCCTCAGTCGACTGCGTTCTTTTCCAAATCTTTGGAGCCAACAAGTCCTATATCGGTGCCGCTTCTTCTTATCCCGATAGATGGACTCAAAAGCTCGAGAAAGGAGAATACACGATTCAAGCACAAGTCAGGTACCCAGATGAGCAAGTTCTGCTAGGAATGAAAGAGCTTCCACTTTTGTAGGTTGATTAATACTGTTCTTTTCGAAACCAGATCAATTTCCAGAGTTCGTGTCAAATTGGGAAGTAAAGTGTCTGTTGATCTCGCTGCTTCTGCCGCTGACGCAACTTTCGGGAAAGAAAGCAAGTTCACCGGAAAAGCTCTTCTTCCAAACCAAGAGATGACCCTTTACGCTATGAGTGTATCAGATGACAAGTTGCCGAAAGGAATTGTCCCAACCAGTGGAAGTTTCCTTATTGGATCATTTTCGGCATTGAAGGATTCTGATTTGAGCGCTGTTGACAAATCACAAGTTGTCTATTACTTGAGTGAATATTCGGCCCGCGCAGCAAAAGGTCTATCGATGGTTACAGTAAAGAAAGAGAAGAATCAGAAGGACGAAATGACTGGTGAGAATTGAATACATGAATGATAAATCATTATTAATTTTTTTTCAGAAGCCATTCGTGACTTGGAAGTTTCCTGGGTGCAAAAACTGACAGATGAGAAGACTGCGAAGGAATTCTTCGAAACGTGTCTTCAGAAGTATCCTGATCATCTTCCACTTCTCACGAATCGTGTCAAGCAGCTCATGCAAACAAAGTTGGCTGATCAAACCGATGAGAACGTGCAAAAAATTATTGAGCTCTGCGGGAAAATTCTCGAGCTCACTAAGCCGAATGAAGTTCTCCAGTTCCTTTCCGTCAAACAGGAACATGATGATGATCTGTTGACAGTGGAGAAATGGCTTGTGTTGACTGGTGGAACAGAAGCTCAAAGAAAAGAATGTGCCAAGATGATCCCAATGTTCAACGAGCGAAAAAATGCGATAATTATCGCCTTGCAAACTTTGGCATCCCTTGAACAAGATCGGGAAATGCGCAGGTCTTCGAAAAATATTCCAGCAAGTCTCCGATTTGGCGGAGTAACACCATTGATCTTTGGCGGAAAGCAGGGAGAAGTTATTGCAAAGAAGTCAGATGGCCAGGAAGAGTTGAAGTCAAAAGCTGAACAGATTGATGCAGTTGTTGCTGAAGAGCTGAAGAAGATCGATGAGAACTGGACTGGAAGTCAATTCTACGTGAAGCTTCTCATCTGGTTGTCGGCTGACGACTCAAAGGCCGCCCTCGTTTCTTCGAAGCATGCTGCGGCTCTTGGACAGTTTGGGAGATGTGCCAAGCTGCTAAACAAGGCTGGAGAAGAGCTCAAGGCGTCGGCCACCGACTCGCAGGCTGTGGATACGTCGCTAGCGGAAATCTGTGAAAATCTCGAATGGAATCATCTATCTACCCATTTCAAGAATCTAGCTCTCATCAAGAATCGAGCCTCTTTCAGACTTTTCTAATTCATTTTTTTGTGAAATATACAGCGGGTTTCATTTATTTATTTCTTTTCATTCTTCCAAACATTAGTCAAAACTTTCACATGTACCATAGAAGTTCGAATAAATTTATTTTCTTTAACAATCATTGAGATCAAACAAAAATCATGATAATGGTGAACATGAGAAGAGAGATTACATTCAGATTTGCAGACAAATTAATACACGGCATGTACTCGCAATAGTTCCAGCCTGTCATGAGAGTAAGAATTTTCTGATATTGACAGTACGACTTGACGCCTCCTTTACCACATGATTTCCTCACTACCGCACGCTCGCACTGCGTTGTTTTGGAGACTGAGCTGAAATTGAAACGATTCATCCATGATATTTTATTATTCTTATACAAAAAATCGGAGGAATGGACGAGAAACCCCGGTGACCCTAGCCGAAGGTACCTCAACGACAACTAGCGTAACCTGAAACTATGTTCATTTACTCGTTTTTCAACTGATTTCCGTCGATTTTTCTGTTGTTTTCCCACAAACAAGTCAGAAGATTGAAATTTTCGCTAGTGAAAAATTGACTTAAAACGCACCAAAATCGAGAAAAAAAAACATTTTTTTGGTTATTGTAGCTGTCGTTGTGGGACCTTCGGCCATGACCGCCTGTGTTTCTCTTCCATAGCTTCGCTTTTTCTGTACCAGAACGATTTACCTTGAAACCTGTAATAGAAGGGCCCCACACTGTAATGTATGAGCTCGATTTTCTCAGCTCCTATGCAAGATATCAAAAATGTGTCAACTGACAAAACATTTCGGATATTATGATAAACAACTTACCAGTTGACACCTTTTTGATATTTCTGACAGGAACCGTAATAAATTGGCTCAAAATTAAAAGTTTGGGGGCCCTTCTATTACAGGTCTTACGGTAAGCAATTGTGTCTTACTCGCAACTTCCGATTTCTAGAACTGAGCACTCCGTGTAGATTGTATCTGTCAATTCATTCAGGCTCACTGCTTGCATGCATTCATAATAAGTGACAACTGCAAATTGGGTTAATTAGATTATTGAAAACGAATTGGTCATTTAATTACTCACAATCCGATCCATAATCACAGTAGAATTGCATGAATGCTGTCTGTGAAATGTAGTACGCCGCATTTTCTTCTAGTTCGAAAATTGCATTGAAAGTATTGTAATTGAGACAATCATCTATGACATCAGTGTGACAATGACGAAGAGCAGAGTAGCTACTGAAAGAAAATATAAAAGTTGTGCAATGTTTGCCAATAGAGATTGACTAACCTACACATTCCGGTGGCATCATAACGGATACTACGGAATGGTCATCTTTTGCAGGAGGTAAACTGGTAACATTCAAACCATAGGATATGAACATATTGATATAACATTGTTGAAGAACTTGATCCTGATCATTACTACAGTTATGAAGAACTCCTTCGTTTCCAGCTACAGTTTGCTTCACAAGGCCACCGAGATCTTGTCCAAGATCTATATCTAGAGCTACCACTACAGAAATGGAAGAAAGCCTTAAAATTGAGAGCAATGACATTATTACATATAGGAAGTCAATTCTGGGGGTTTTTAATGGTTTAAGAAGAAGAAGAAGAAGTTTTTAGTCTGAAACAGAATCATAAAATTCCGTCACCGGTCGCCAACCGGTTTATAGCATTTCGGGAGGTTGAAATGTGTTTATCAATTTGATGTACCGTTGTGTCATACTTGCCGGTTTACGGCCCACAAAACTTTTTGATGCGTTATTTGATTACTGTGCACAAGTTCGTTTATCAGCAGGTTTAAGAAAAATTAAATTTTTAAAATTCCTGGTGTCGTATTTCGAGAAGTTATTAGCATAATGACCCCTATTGAAATGTGATTTTTTTATTCCTTGCCTCTCGAATGCTTGAGTTTGGTTTGGAGGAATCCATTTTTTGATACTGGAAAAATATTTTTTTAATGAGAATTCAAATTTTTAGAATCAAACTTTCAATGAGCTATTTCAAAATAGAAGTTTTGCTGCGCAGGCGAAAATACAGAATCATTGCATTTCACATTAGATTGAGAAATGACACACTTGAAATTGATATAAAAACTTCAAATGGTTTTCCTTCTGTTTTGTTTGAGAAAACGAAACGATATAAAACAAAACCGTTAACGCAGTTGGTGCAATTACAGAATAGGTAAGTCATTTTTTTGGAGAAATGGAATCCTGACGGAAATGATAATATATAGGTATGTACAGGTTAATAAGATATACGAAAACGTATTTTTCAATTGATTTTCGGTAATTTCGACCATTTTCAGAATCTGGATCTTGACTCTCAAGTTTCCGAGCACTTTGAAAACATTGGAGGGTGGAAAACAAACCTAAATTGAAAACCTTGCTATCAATAAATTTTTCGAAATTGCCTAGTTTCTCAGCTATTTGCTGATCTCTGAAGAACACACCTTTTTGAACCGTTTTTGTACAGAAAACATGAAGAAACGGGTGTCCTCCAGAAATCAGGAAATAACTGAAAAACTAGTTATTTTAAAAAAATTTATTGACTGCAAAGTTTTCAATCTAGGTCTGTTTTACACCTTCCAAAATTTTCAAAGTGATCGGAAACTTGACAGCCGAGCTCCAGACTCCGGAAAGGGGTTAAAATGACCAAAAATAAAGTGAAAAACACGTTTTTGTATATCTTATTGATCGGTACTGTATATCCCTCTAAAATTCTGGAGGACGGTCTGATGATCTGATGGTTCAACTTCTTTATTGCAGATACCAAAAAGAAATAGACGGTGATATGTACCTCAATCATGTGTCAATTGAAGAAATATTCAGTATCTATAGAAGCCTTCATGATTTATTTTCTTGTTCATCTTATGATTGGATTTTCCTATTGGACGAATTAAAACTATACGAATTTAGGGAATATACGGAGAGGATATTAACAACAGAATTCACTGGATTCATAGTTCATGTGGGAAGTATAAGCAATGAGTCATTGGTAGAATTGACGAAGGAATTTCCTGAGAAGGCGAATATTATCATTGATTTGGATATTTCTTCAGACTACAGTAATGCGAAGGTAGAGGCAAAAGACAATCCTTGATTTTGTTAAAATGTTTCAATGATAAATAATGATTTCTTTCAGGCCCTCAAATTTCATGCGGTTGATTACAAGGAGGCACGTTAGCTGAAAATTGAAAATTGATAAGCAAGAAATTATCAAAGATTTGATAGTAATTTATGACGAGAAAGATGGAGATGTCGAATTTTTTATGTGAGTTTCAGAATATTTTCTAATTTTTGAATACTGTAAAGCCCGTATTAGAAGGGTACCTCTATTAGAAGATTCTCTCTAATAATGGGGCCCTCCGAGAACAGCTAAGAATAGGAGGGTTCATGTAATATTAGGTTGGTGCATAAGTTTCTTCCGATTTTGAATGCTCAACTTTCAAAATTGATAACTCCTCCAAGGGAATTATTTTCAGACGATCTTGTCAAAAAAGTTCATCATAATATCTCAATTATTTTATCAGTTAACCCCTTTTTTGAAATATTGCATCGGAGGCCAGAAAAATTAACTCTAACTTGACAATGAGAGCGCTTCTTTTAAAGGTTTTTCGGCATTTTGTTTCTATAGATCTTTTGTGAAGTTCCTCGCTCTGATTTCAAAAAAATAATCTTTCCAGAAAAGCAACACACATTGGACACCGGAAATTCATTTATGGTCATTTGAAAGTTCGTGAAAAAAAAACCATTTTTACGACATGATCCCTTGCAAGATAATGATGTGTATCAACACTTGGTCTTAAACTGAACCATTAAAAAAAAGATTGGGAAGAGAAAATTCGGCGATGGGACAATGAATTTCCAGGATTGAGAGAAGCCGAAAAAAGAAAACTTCATTTGGGATTGGAAGAATTAGAAGGGAAATTGGCAGTTCTGTATCGTGATTTTGCCATTTAAAATAACTAACTCATGTATTTAACTCAACATATGGAATGCTTTACATTCTGCATCTGGCAAGGGAAGCACCCAAAGTGTCAAATAGTTTTCCCTATAGTAATCCATTTCATTTTTGAATACTTTTGCTTACAGTAATCCTTTTCATTTTTCAATATTTTTCCCAACAGTAGCCTTTTTCATTTTTTAAAACTTCCCCCCACAGGAATTCTTTTCATTTTCGAATATTTTTCCCTACAGTGATCCTTCCATTTTTTGAAAATTTTTTCTACAGTAATCCTTTTCACTTTCGAATTGTTTTCCGTAGTTATCCTCTTTCAATTACTATTTTCCCTCTCCAGTAATCCTCTCAGGTTTCTGACATTGGTGGCATGATAGAAGATATCGTTGATGATACAAATAAAACTTTCAAATAGATATATTTTATTCTCGATTATAATAAAACCAGAGAAACTCGGACCCGAACTTCAAAAATAGGAAACTATAGAAACATGAATTTGATCTACTGATATGACTCGATTGGTGGGCACGTGCAGACTAAGTTACGATCTCCATATTGATCATCGACTCTTCCAACGGTTGGCCATGCCTTATGACTGCACCATGGTTTCGGGAAAGCAGCCAATTCACGAGAGTATGGCATGTTCCACGTGTCAGATGTCACTTTCTCAAGTGTGTGTGGAGCCATTTTCAGCGGATTCAAATGTTTGTCTAGAGTTCCGTTTTCGACTTGTCGGATTTCTTCACGAATAGCAAGGAGAGCGTCGACTAGTCTATCCATTTCTCCTTTGTCTTCTGATTCAGTTGGCTCAATCATCAAACAATCGTGAACTGGCCAAGACATAGTTGGTGAATGAAAACCGTAATCCATCAATCTCTTCGCAATATCCACAACTTCGATTCCGTGTTTTTTGAATGGTTTACAATCCATAATGAATTCGTGAGCTACAAGACCTTGTTCGTCTGAAATCATTATTCTCCCAGCTACTGTACTACGTTTTATTTCCTAACCTTTGTATACAATACGGTATTCGTTTTCAAGTCGTTTCGCCATGTAGTTAGCATTTAGAATTGCAACTTGCGAAGCCTCGCGAAGGCCAGAGGCTCCCATCATTCGGATATATGCCCACGTGATGGCTAGAATGCTGGCAGATCCATATGGAGCAGCGGCAACTGATCCAGCCTGACGACCTTGGACTGGGATGACAGAGTGGCCAGGAAGGAATGGTGCGAGATGTTTCTTACTGCAAAAAGAAGTGTTCGAAAATAACGATAGCTTCAAATAGCTTACACTCCAATTGGTCCAACTCCTGGACCACCTCCTCCGTGTGGAATACAGAATGTCTTGTGCAAGTTCAAATGTGACACATCACTACCGTAATCTCCTGGGCGACACAATCCGACTTGAGCATTCATATTGGCTCCATCCAAATAAACTTGACCTCCGTGCTCATGAACCTTGTCACAAACATCGCGAATTGATGATTCGAAGACTCCGTGGGTAGAAGGATAGGTGACCATGATTGCAGCCAGTTGATTAGAGTACTTCTCAGCCTTAGCTGCCAAATCTTTATAGTTGATGTTTCCATGGTGATCAGAATCCACAACAACCACTTTCATATTAGCCATTTGAGCAGACGCTGGATTGGTTCCATGAGCAGATGTTGGAATCAGGCAGATCTGGAAAACATAAATAATTCACAACCTACATACTATATTGAAAATTAGCACGAAAATCAAAATCTCCTTATTTGAATTACCAGTCGGTTTACGCCCCTTCGGGACTAAACCTCCTGGCCCTCGCTTACGATACCCGAAATCTTATAAAAAGGTTCCGTCACTTTTACGGAGGCTATTTTTTAGGGCCTATGCTCACAAATTTGAAAATTAAGAAATTTTGAAAGTTGGGAAGTTCAGAAATTCAGTAGTTCAGAAATTGAGAAATTGGGAAATTGAGAAATTGAGAAATTCGGAAGTTCAGAAACTTGGCAGGCCAGAAATTTTGACATTGAGGGATTCATGATTCAGAAATTCTGATTTTTTGAAATTCCAAATTTCTGAGTTTCTAAGTTCTGAAATTCTGAATTTCTGATTTTTTTGAGATTCGGAAGCTTTGATTTTCGGTTTTTCGAATTTCCGAATTACCGAATTTGGATTTTCTGAAATGCAAGAACTTAACTTAAAGGGGGACTCCGACCAAAATTTTTTATTGCATTAAAATGTTCGAAAAGTTGTCTATTTTCCCGATATTATAGCGAAAAAATTTGAAAAATATCCGAAATCCCCGAAAAATACCGTTAAAAGCGAAAAATTTTCAAAAAAAGTTGTTAGGAAGGACGAGGATTTGAATTCCTGCGCAGTGAAAAACCTAGGCCACGGCGCCTGACAGCCGTTTTTTCAAGTGGCCGACAGTGGTTTTTTACGTTTTTACCTGCCGGACATGAAAACCGAAAAAATTCGGAAAAATTTCCATGTAAGAAAGGCGCTATGATGCCGTGGCCTAGATTTCTCACTGAGCGGGAATTCGAATCCTATTTTTTTCAACGCCGTTTTTCGGGGATTTAGGATTTTTTTCGAAATTTTTCGCCATGATATTAGGAACATACATATTTTTTGAAACATTTTAATGCAATAAAAACTTTTGGTCGGAGTCCCCCTTTAAGAAATTTTAGTTTTTGAGACTCTTAATTTCTGAATTTCTGGGTTTCCGATTTTTTTTGAGATTCTGCCTTTCTGAACTTCAGAATTCTCGAATTTCGCGAATTTTTTGCATTTCAGCATTCATGAATTCCTAATTTGTTGTTATTTTCAAAATGAAAAATATTTGAGATTTTTTGAATTTCCGAATTTCGAAATTAGGATTTTCCGAAATTCAAAAACTCAGAAATTCAGGTAACCAAATATTTGGAAATTGAAGTGCTCGAGTACTCAGAAATTGGGAATCCGAAAATTTACAAATTTTAACATTTTGGAATTTGGAAACTTATTATTTCAAAGATCCAGGTTTCTATAGTTTCAGCATTTAAAAAATTTGCAAAGTTTGGAAATTCAAAACCACTGAAAGATTTTGATTTCTTAAAGTTCGAAATATTTTGATTTCTTAAAGTTTGAAATAATTTGATTTCTTATAGCTTAAAGCCTAAGAAATTCAAAGACTACATTAAACGCGTTTGTATTGATCTTTAAGGGAGCTTGTCTTTTTCTCAGATTTCTTATCATTATTTTTTCTTCCTTTCAAATCTTCAGAACTCAGACTGAACCAATATTCGCACAAAATCATCTTTTTGTCTGATATAACGTGGATAAGAAAAAATATAGTAGAGTTGAGCGGGAATGACGTATATATAATTTCTGAAGACTTGTACTGTAGAAATAGAAGAACGTCTCCAGAAGACGTCAGAAGCAAAATTTCACAAATCAAAATAGACGGGCATCATCTCGCTGCTATTTCGGGTTATCTGTGAAAATTTGGGAAATTTTGGTCCAGTGGTGACTTCGCTAGGGTCCTGGAACCGGGAACACCGGACACACACACAGAATTTGGTGATTGTTAATAGTAAAGATCGTTACAAAAATAAACACCGTGGTTCCTCAAGGAAGCTAGAAACTTATCTAAACCGTCTTATTTGAGCTTAATTGTCTCGATTCCTATAAGAGATATCAAACGTGTGTCAACTGACAAATTATTCATCATATTATCACCATTATTTTATCAGTCGGCACATGTTTGATATCTTTGACGAGAATCGAGATAATTGAGCTCAAAGATGAGGGGGTATCTATTAGAGGATATACGGAATTATAAAACCTACATTTCTCTGTTCTTGTCCCTTGTGAATCAGGTAGTTACGAATGGCAAGAAGTCCAGCGTACTCTCCGTTGGCTCCAGAATTAGGTTGCAAACTGAAGTTATCATATCCAGTGATTTCGCAAAGCCATTTCTCAAGATCTCCAAAGATCTGGCTGTATCCTTTAGCTTGCTCGACCGGTGCAAATGGGTGAATTGAGGACAGACTTGGCCAAGTGATTGGCTGCAAATTTAACTCATCTGGAAAATCCTAACTTTGAAAAGACTCACAATGAGCTCAGCAGAAGCATTCAATTTCATAGTGCAACTTCCAAGGGGAATCATAGAGTGAACGAGAGAAACGTCCTTATTTTCGAGTCGTTTCATATAACGGACAAGCTGTTGTTCACTGTGATAAGTGTTAAAAACTGGATGTTGGAGGAAGAGAGAGGATCGAGAGTGTGGAGAGTTTCCGATCAATGGACAAGCTACTTCCCAACGCTCTTCACGAAGTTTCGTCTGAAAATATATTAATTTCGCTGTAGCATATGCCGTAAAACCTGTAATAGAAGGGTCCTTAACTTCTACCCACTTTAACTCAGCTCCTGTCAAATCTTTGAGAAAGTTGTCAACGGATAAATTGATTATCATACTATTGGAAACACTTTATCAGTTGACTTGTTTTTGATATCTTGCATAAGCGCCAAGAAAAACTAGCTCAACCTTGACAGTGTGAGGGTCCTTCTATTACAGGTTTTACCGTAAATTAAGAAACACTCACCACATCCTTCTCAGTAGCTCCATTGAATGTGTAGATAATATCCATAAGATCTTCTGATTTTACAGTTTCATCCAACGATACTCCAACATCTCCATTGTCATAATAACGGAAATTCATCTTCATCTCTTCAGCTCTCTTTTTCAATTCCTCCAGAGCTTCACCGTTCTTCAGACGAACCTTCAAAGTGTCAAAGTATTCCTTGTGCACGATCTCGTGACCCGCATTTCTAAGATCTGGAAAATGGAAAATTGAAAGTCAGGACAGAGAAAAAAGAAACTTACGTGTAGCTAGGTAAGCAGTTGACTTGTGAACTCCTCTGGCAATTTCTGTAAGTCTTTGTGGTCCATGGTACACTGCATACATTGCAGACATATTGGCCAGAAGAGCTTGGGCGGTACAGATGTTACTAGTGGCTTTGTCACGACGGATATGTTGTTCACGAGTTTGGAGAGCCAGTCGAAGAGCACGGTTTCCATTTGAATCTCTGAAAATTGGGATTTTTAAACATTCAAAAGAAAGTACCCCAATAAAAAAGCTACCAATTTATCTCGGCTCCAGTCAAAGACACGAAAAAGTTGTCAGCTGATGAATTGTTTATCGTAATATCATAAACATTTTATCAGTTGACACATTTTTGATATCTTGCTTCGGAGCCAAGGAAAATTAGGTCAAACTTGACAATGTGGGGTATACTCACTTTGTAACTCCAATGATTCTTCCTGGCATATTTCTGCCCAACGCATTTTTCGAATCGTTCTTTGCAACAGCCATGAATCCAGCGTGAGGGCCACCGTAACCCAATGGAACTCCGAATCTCTGAGAGGATCCAACGGCAATATCTGCTCCAAGATCTCCTGGCGATCTAAGAATGGTCAACGAAAGCAGGTCACAGACCATGATAACCAAGGATTTGTTCTTATGAGCTCTTTCGATCAGCTCATCGAACTGATGGATTCTTCCTTCTGTGTTTGGATACTGAACTACCACAGCAGCCACCTTGTCATCGAACTCTAATCCTTCAACAGCATCACAAACTTCGATATCGATTCCAAGAGGATCACTGCGTGTTTTGATGACATCCAGATTTTGAGGATGACAGTAGGAATCGACAATCACTTTGTTTCTTTTTGTGGTTCTTGCCGCCAATGCAACAGCTTCAGCAGACGCTGTGGCTTCATCCAGAAGAGATGCATTTGTGGTGGGAAGTCCCGTCATTTCAGCAATCTGGAAATTCTTTTAGAACCCATAAACTGTTTTTTAAACCTACCATTGTTTGGAAATTGAGAAGAGATTCAAGTCGTCCTTGAGAAATCTCAGCTTGATAAGGAGTATACTGAGAGATCCATCCAATGTTTTGTAAAATGTTTCTAGAAATAACAGCCGGTACAATAGTATCATAGTATCCCATTCCAATGTAAGATCTGTAGATTTTATTCTGTGCAGCGATTGCTTCAAGCTCTTTGAGCATTTTGTATTCATCAAGAGCTGGAGGAAGGTCAAGGGCTTTTTCGAACTTTATCATATTTGGCACGTTGGTTCCAGTGAGATCATCGAGATCCTGTAATTTTTCAAAAGCTTTTCGAAAATTCAATAAATTTTTTCACGGGAATTCAGACTTTGTTTTTAGGTTTAGAACCCAATTATTGGATATCAATCATACTCGCAACTAACTTTGTATCCAATAAAATCAAGCATTTGCTGTTGCTCCAATCTTCTTGGTCCGATATGTCTATCCACGAACGCATCATACTGTAGATGACGTGCCACTGGTCTCCTCAAAGCAATTCGGCCGGCAGCGAGCAATCCTCTTCCAAGGAGAACCATTCTTTAGTGTTCTAGTAGAGTTTTTATTAAATTACAAACAAGAAAACAAGGAATTCCGAAAATGGAGAGACGAAAGAGCGTGTAATGTTGGCAACATGGGTACATGCGACCTCTTATCAGAAAAAGAGTCACCGACTTTTGATCAAATGATTCTTGACCTAAACCCAGCAACACGTGGTTTCTATTCAGATGATAGTCTAGACGGATTCTAGAGACCAAGTAATGTACAACCTGTAATAGAACGGTCCACACATTGACAAAAAATTCTTAGAGTACAAGGGGGTTTAAAATAATTTAGTGGCACAAATTTCAGAGTTTTACAGGTATTTTTTTACTTCCGAATTAAAGATTTTGTACCTCTGAATAGCTTTGTACCCCAATGACCCCAAAATTGTTGCACCCTCCGAATTATTGCCCCACGCATTGTCAAGCTTGAGCGAATTTTTCTTGGCTCGCATGCAAGATATAACAAGTAGTGATTTTCAAAAGTTTTAATTTTGGGAAAAATATTCAGAAAGTGTTAATATTTCTGTTATATTTGTTGAAAAAACACGTTGCTCCCAAAAACTTAACGGTCCATCTTTTGGGAGATTCAAAAGATTCACGTGGCTCACAAAAATTTTTGAAAATTCAGTACTTTGATGTGAAAATTAAAACTTTTGAAATTCACTACTTGTTATTTGAAAAATATGTCAACGGATAAAATATTTGTGATATCATGATAAACAATTTCACAGCTTTCAACTTTTTCGTATCTTTCACAGGAACCGAGATAAATTAGTTCAAAGTGAACAGTGAAGGGGTGCCTTTCTATTACAGGTTTTATACTACTTATCTGACGGTTAATATTATTCTGATACAAAAATCGTAGTTGTGGAAGAGAAACGATGGTGGCCGCATCCGAAGGTCCTACAACGACAACTACAGTAACCTAGAATATGTTCACTTTCCGTATTTATTATCTCGATTTTCGTACGTTTTCAGTCAATTTTTTCACGGTCAAAATGTTTCCTTTGCATTGAAAAACGAGAAAATAAATTTGAAAAATAAAAATATTTTTAGGTTACCGTAGTTGCCGTTGGGGGACCTTCGGCCACGGCCACCGACATTTTTCTTCGACAGCTTCAATTTTTTCGAATTAGAAAAATGAACCAAACAATTGACTTGACCTGTAAAAGAAAAAAAAAGAAAAAAAGGACTAGCTGATAAGAGATCATGTTGCCAATTCAGAATCGATCACCCCACAACGACTGTTATCTCCTCCTTCTTCTTCTTCTTCAGCGAGAGCGATACTGATAACCGAGACGCTTTTGTCTCCAACCACCACTGTCTTCTTGATTGTATGTTTCTGCATTTTATTGCAAACAAACTCTTCTTCTTTCTTTCAAATATATTCGACAAAAGACTAAAAAAACACATATCAAAAGAGAATTGAGAGGGGATAAAAAAGTAAACGAGATGGAGAAGTTAGCAAGTACTTAGGTTGGAGTCATTTAAATAAATACGGGTTGAAGGACAGGGACATCAAAGGGAAATTAAGCTTAAAGGGTCATTGATTTGATTGAGAAGAACGCGGGAGACCATGTGTGTTGGGATTGGAAAGGAAAAATTAACAGTAAAATAACTGAAAAACAGTGGAATCGATAGATATGATTATTCGGCAGACGCGCTAGAATTACACGGCGCATCTTCTTCTGGAGCTGGAGCTGTCGATGGCTCATCTTCGTCATTCTTTCCTGCGTCAGCTTCAGCTGATGCTCGTTCACTCTCCTCAATTTCTTCATCAGTCGGCTTGTTCACGATAACGAAACCTTCGTCAACTTGGTCCTGTTCGCCTTCCTCATCTTCCTTTCCATCCTTGATCTTTACAGAAGACGCATTGAGATCACAATCAGCTTTTCTCTTCCGGCAATTCTCTCCTTTCTCCAATTTCAGCAAGTCGCTCATGATGTTGTAGAACCGATCCGAGTCTGGGATAGTTTCCGTCTTGGTGAATCCAATTTTGAGGAGGAAAATTTGAACACCGGAAATTTCTGGCCCCATCGCAGAAATCTGGAAAATAATCGATTTATTGCTCTCCTGATTCACCAATGAAAGAAACTTACCCTTATACGTTTCTCGACTCGCTCTAAAAGCATATCCGAGAAAATTTTCGAGTTGATTATGACGCGAAGAGTGCCCGAGGAAGTTCTCGCAACTAAAAACCGATGATTTGTGAGAAACTGGAAAAATGAGATACCTACCAATACGATGATGCGTCATTCCGTTTTCGACTCTTTTGTTGATTCTGAGAGTGCATACTCCTTTTTCGACATATGCGCTACGCGCTTTGTCGAAAGCCCAAATCTTACATGGAGCCTGAAAAAAAAAGATATTCCTTACTTAAATAGCAGAAAAATCTTCTCACTTGGAAGATATTCGTATCGTTCTCCTCTCCACTTGTAATTTCCACCGCACTGGTTCCTGCGTGTTGCTTCTCCACCTCTTTAGTCCGTTCTGCTTCTTGTTGAGCCTCTTCGCGGAAGTCTTTATGCTCATTTTTCTGGAACATAGAATCAGTTTTTTAAATCTTCTCTCATCCTCACGTCATCGTCTTTCTTGACGGCAGTCTTGAAGAGCTCTGTTGCTGTCATGGTCTTCTCATCGGATTCACCAGATTTCGACGTTTCGCCGTCGGTTTTCACAATTCGGTCGGCAATTTTTGACCCGAACACAAACGTTGGTGCTACTGTTTCTTCAACTTCCTGAAAATCGATGAAATTGACGATAATTCTTAAATAAAAACTCGGACTTTCTCTTTCTGCGCGGACGCATTTTTCTGAGCAATATCTCCCAGCGACTTCTTCTCCAAGTGAACATGATTAACCGTTGAGTGTGTAGCTGAGAAGTCGGTTTTACCTGAAATTGAAACCACGTGATCAGATCGAAACGAATGAAACCCTTACTTTCTGACCAAAGTTTGTCAGCCTTAGCAGCCAGAGCTGAAGGTTTGAAAGCGAACGGCTTTGACATGACTGAAAACAAGTATATTGAAGAAAAATTGAATTTTTTAAACGAAAACGTCGTGAAGTTTCGATGTTATGTCGTCGAATTCGTTCACGTTCGGTACGAGAACTACGCCAGCTGTCATGAAACGCGCCATCCCGCACAGCTTGGCGCCTTTCATGATATTTGGTCAATTTTTCATAATATTTTTTCCGCTGAGTACGTTAAATAAGTCTGAAATGCTAATTTTCAGAAATAACTAAAATCGGTTTACAGACAACATGATGTTTTTACTACTTGCATTGCTGCTAGTACCAGTTTTCTCTGAAGCAGGAACAGAGGTAAGATTTTTTTCATTAAAAAAATTTCTCTAAAATTAGTTTTCAGGCTAATTTTGAGGACACAAGATGTCGATGTGTTTGTCCGAGTCTTCTGAAATTCTTGGACTTGGCGGAGAACGCGACTGAAAAGTCACAAGGCTTGCGGAGACGTTTCTATACAAAGACCAACATCGAGCCTAGCCACTGGCAAGTTTTTATTTAAACTATTGAAAAAAAACACACACAAAGATTTTCGAAAAAAATAGCATACGATTTTAAAGAAATATTATTTATTAAGTATAAAAACAAATGGAAAGACTAAAGAATATATTGTGGTGTCAGGCTTCTGATGCAAGTCATGTTGTCCATTCAGCAATAATTTACAGTTTTGCTTGCAAAATTTTGCACTGATTTTGTGCTTCTGGGACATCATTGTACCAAAATTCACTTCATATAAAGATACTTAAAAAATTATGATATTTTTTCAGCAGGCCAAATAACATTGTGATGGAACAAGTTAGCAACCTTATAGATGAAGCGCACATGGACGCATTCCTGGCCAATTGTGACTGTCGATACGAGTCGAGAAATACCGTGCTTCTGAAAGTGGTTGTGATATTCGTCATTTGTGTCATCGCAGTTCTTACTGGATACATGGTATTCCTCATGTGCCTGGATCCGATGCTACGTAAAAAGAGATTGTCTATAAGTTATCAACAACATAACGATGAGATGGAGGATAATATCTTTGCTGCAGCTCCAACTACAGATGATGAGTCGCCAACACCCAGTAATACGGTAGATACACAAGGAACCACGAGGTCGAGAGGCAGTAAGTTGAATCCAGATTCACTGATTCTAATCTTTATAAGTTTTCCCTACAGATGTTCTTGGACGTGTGGAGGCCGAGCAGAACCGATGGATGAAAAAAGTGGAAGAGCAGCGAAGGAACATTTTCGAAGACCATACGATGCTCAACTAGTTATATATCCCTCACAGTGACCGTTTTAATCCAATTCATAATTTATTTTTCCTTGCATGTACATTTCTATCAAATAGTTTGCCATTTTTCACCTTCATAAACACATTTCGCATCAGAAACAAAGACAGTTAAAATTTCGAATTTCAAAGAGAGAAAAAGGTCAAAGAGAAATAGTGGCGGATAGCGGAGAAAGTTCTCTGCGTCTCTAATCTTATTTCTATATGTTCCTTCTAACTCGCTGTTTGTTGTGAGCGGGGCCGTCGTCGGAAAAAGAGATGAAGAGAAGGAGATTCTCTCAAAGTGCCACACATTTCCCATTTCTTTTTCTCTTTTTTCCTGTTTTTTTTTTCACTTTTTTCAGATTACTCTGCCCGTTGATGATTTATTGTGTTTTATGAAGTTTCAGTGCCTTTCCGGAAAATAAAACTTCTAAACAAACGAAAAGAAAACGAAGAATTTTACTTCAAGGCCAACATTAGCATAACGGCAAGAACATGATGACTAATACTTTTGTTATGTCACAATCCATCTTATTTTTACGGAACACCACCTACGAGTTATTTTAAAACTAACTTCCTCCCGGAAGTACTTCTTTCAACATAGGTAATACTGTTTTGAGTCTCATGCCATCTTTTATCAGTTGTCTAGGACCAAAAGAAGCATTTCTACCAGCTTCATGTATTTTTAAGTTATCAGTTCGATGTGTTCTTGTTGTTTTCCGTCAACATGTATGTTTACAACATTGTCTGCAGACATACTTGTACAACTAATAATGAACCAATGTCCTCCACGGGCCGCCCATTTTGGTAAACCTTCCATTAACCCGCCAATTCTATTCATTCTTTCCGTAAACCGTATTCAACCATTGTTCTCTTTTCCGTTCGTCTCTTTTAAAATTCTGATTAAAATGCCGTTCAAGAAGATGTCGTGGTTCTTTGATCGTATGCATGAAGAGGCTCACAAAATCAAGGAAAAAATCAAGGAGAAGAGTCGCAAACGTAAGGCGCCGACTGCCGAAGAAGCCATTGGAAACTTGAAAGATGCTGAAGAACTTTTGATCAAGAAACAAGAATATTTCGAACTTCGCATCGAACAAGAGATCGAGGCAGCCAAGAAGCATATGAAAACGAATAAGAAGCTGGCGTTGGCTGCATTGAGAAGAAAGAAGAATCATGAACAAGAGTTGAGCCGTATTGATGGAGTAAGAATTTATTTTAATCTTGAATATTAAATTGGTTATTTTAGGTGCTCACAAAGCTTGAAGCCCAACGGTCTGCTCTGGAAAACGTTGGAATGCATAATGAAGTTATTGATGTTCTTGGAAAGACAAACGAAACTTTGAAGAAGGAGCACGCAAAGATGGATATTGACAAGGTGCATGATTTGATGGACGAAATCGCCGATGGCTTGGCTATTTCCGGAGAATTCAACGACGCGATATCCGCACCGATTGGAGACGTGGCAGATGAAGATGAGCTATTGCAAGAGTTGCAGGAATTGCAGGACGTGAGTTCATAACTGTTCTACTTTACACTAAAAATAATTTTTCAGAATGTCGCTGACCTCACCCCATCAAAACTCCCTGATGTTCCAACTGTACTCCCGGAAGTACCGGCAGCAGCACCAGCCGGACGTCGTGGAAAGTTCCGCAAGATGAGTACAATGGAAGAATTGGAGCAGTGGGCCGCATCGAACTAATCTTCTTCTTATTCAAACCCAAATATGTTCCACTTTTTTTCCGTACAAAAACACATCTACCTACCTTCTTCGTATTATTTTTTAAATTTTGTTGACAGTTTTTCTTATCGTTCGTGAATGATTATAAATAAAAATTCGAATAATCAAACACTCGAAAAGAATTCGTCATACTAAAATAGGAGAAGCAGGAGGAAATAGTGGATACATTAATGACACTGTTTATGTATGGAAATCCAGTTCGTTCCCAGAAGACGATCATGGTGGATTTGTTATCTTTTCGCCTAGCGTTTTCGACCTTTCTATATCACACTATTCTGGATTTTCATCGTGATAGGAAACTCACTATCGAACGATTCTCTTTTCCAATTAGGTGTTTCATTTTTCTGTTATCTGTGCGAATTGGTCTTTAACTGAAAATATCAGAAAACAATCTTTAAATGTGACTTTTTTGGAATTCGATTGACATATTTTTGTTTCTTTGATAAGATTGGTCAGCTGTTTAGACACTTGAGTATAATAGAATTATAGAATTAACTGATCAGAAGCTAAAAGTACCGTTAAAAAAGTTGTCACCTTCAATAAATTCTATAGAATAAAATCTATAGAAGAAAAATTCTATAGAACTACTTATATAGTTCAAATAAGTCAAGTTGGAGTGGCTTAAAAATGGTTATACCGTATTTCCTCTAATAGAAGCTCATCCAAACCGTATACTTTAAGTTCATTTATCTCGATTTCTTTGACAGGTATCAAAAACTTGTCAACAGATAAATTATTAATCATAATATCACCAATGTTATATTAGTTGACTCTTTTTCGATATCTCTTGCAGGAATCGAGATAATTGAGCTCAAAGAAGACGATTTGGGTGGGCTTCTACAAGAGGAAATACGGTATTTTTTGGGAAGACGATTCAAATAATGAGATTTTGGTGAATCATCAGAAAACGCCTTGACTGTTTTTTTTTCAATATTTGATATTCGAAATACAAAAAACTGGTATCAAAATGTATCGACCTACCGTATTTCTTCTACTTGGAAGCTCACCCAAACCATCAAATTTGAGCTCAATTATCTCCATTACTGTGAAAGATATCAAGGTTTTGTCAACCGGTAAAATATTGGTGATATTGTGATAAGTAATTTATCAGTTGACAAAATTTTGATATCTTTGACAAGAATCGAGATAAGTAGGCTCAAAGTTGACGGTTTGAGTGGGCTTCTACAAGAGGAAATACGGTGCATGAAGAGCCCCCATTTCGTATTTGAATACTTTTTCGTGCAAAATGTAGAAATTGAGGAGTTATCGACTTCATCTATCCAGTGTTAACTTTCAACTCCGTAGAATCTCCTCTTCGACACTAAACGTCCCGTCTAAGCTTAAGCGAGTACGGAACCATATCCCTATTTTTCGAAATTTTTTCAAGTCGTTTCTCTCTCATTACAGATACCTAAGCTTGAAAAATTTTAAAGGAAAAAAACTACTTTATCACATTCTGAGCGATCCCCACTGCGTACCGTATTTCTGTAGTTGTTACAAAAAATTGAGAAAACTTGAACTCTGCTCAGCTTCAGGATGAACCCGTTCCTATTTTATATGTATTTCTATCTTGTCAACCCAATCCTATAGTTCCAGATGTGTCGCCCAATCTCTACTCTCCTTTTAATCTTTGTTCTCATTCACATCACCTCGTCATTCCTTCAACCTCAACCAACTTGTGACGGTTGTCCGACATGTCAGAATGCAAACGGATGTCCTGCTGCAGTAGGCGGTGGCGGGACAAGTGAAACTAAAACTGAGGTATCCATTTCATTGTGCTTTGACCGCAATGCTCTTTTTTCTTTAACCTATTTTTCTCCTGCAGTCCACAGCCGAATCGACAACTCTCGGATACTATGAACAGTATTGGCAGGGCAACGGATGGAAGACTGATGACGCTGGAAATGTATATGTAGGAGATGATAATGCTAAACTTTTATTAATTCAACAAGGAACCTATTGTCCTGTTTCAATTTGTAAAGGATGGTTTGGCATCTGGTGATATGTCTCATATCAATGATGATAACGTCAGCTGTTTTTTTGATGAAAAAATAAATAAAGCTCTCTCATCCCATTGTTCAAATGTTTGATCCCCAGAACAACTCTTTTACCCTTTTCTCAACCTTAAAACGCCGTTTTTTTCAACAAAGATCCTTTTGTTTTAAGTTTTGTTTTTCCGTTCCTGGGAGAACAGTGAATGTATCGAATTTCAGAGGTGTTCTACCTTTCTTAAAATTGGTTTTTTCAAAACGAAAAGTCGTGTTTTGGATCTTCGTATATGTTGAGTCACAAAAATCCATAAGGTCTTCACTATTTTTGGGTTTTCAAGGTTTTCAGAATACGACGGTTTTTGATCCAGTATCACCGCGATTCATGTTCTTGGCTTCTTTTCACTATCTGCCCAAAATAATAAACTAAAATTAGCACCCATCTGCCATATGACATAATATGTATCAAATAGTTACTATAGTCTAGTTACTATAAATAGTTACTATAGTCTATAGTTACTATAGTTACTATAGTCAAATAGTTACTATAGACCAGCATGTGAGTTTTCTTGAATTTTGAAATTCTGAAATTCTGAAATTTTGAAATTCTGAAGTTCTGAAATTCAGAAATTCAGAGGTTCTGACATTCTGAAATTCGAAAATTCTGAATTACTGAAATTCGAAAATTCTAAAATTCTGAAATCCGGAAATCCTGAACCTCTAAAACTCGGAAATTCTGAAAACCTGATATTTCAAAAGTCTAATTAACTATATGAACCGCCGCCTACACTTCTGATTTCTTCCATTTTCCCACAAAAATTTTGATTTTAATCTGAATTTTCGTGTGTTGTGTTTTAATACATTCACTCATAACTTTTCGACCCGAATGACCAAAATTGAACTGCTGACCAGACAAAGAGCAAATAAACAGAAAAGGAATTTGCTCAAATTGTAACTAACTATCACGATTTTCGAGGAATGCGCAATACGTTGTTTTCATTTCTAGAAAATCTCAAAAAATCTCACATTTTCCCCCCATGAAACTACAAGCTCAAAGTTCAGTCAAACGATTCCCCGAGTATCGGATTAATAACCATCAAATATTTATTCTTTGGCACAAGGACTCCTATTTATTTTTCTTCTTCTTTTCTCTTCTATACACTTCTGAACTTTTGTTCTATCTATTTTCATTAAATTTTTTCCAGAAGTCATAATAAAAGTTGTCTGAGATTCTTCAAATTCTACTTTCATCAGATGATATTTCTTTTTTTAAGGGGAACTCTGACCATAAATTAAATCACCAAAATGTTTCCAATGTTGTGCATGTTCCTGATATTGGTACAAAAAAAGTAAAAAAAAAAAAAGGAAAAAATCCGGAAATGTTGCCACCTAAAGCCGACCTGCCGTCGTGGCCTGAGTTTCTCACTGGGCGGGAATTCAAATCCTCGTCCCTATTCGCCTTTTTTTTAATGTTCATTTTTTCGTCGGATCTTTTGAATTTTTTCACAATAGTAATAGGAAAGAGCATAGCTTTTCAAACATTTTAGTGCAATGAAAATCTTTCAGAAATCGAATAAATGTTGCCTGAAAACCTTCAAATTTGACTTTCATCATGTGACATTTCTATTTGAACCCTTCATCTGAAATTTCTACTTTTTTTTTTTTTATTTTTATTTGACCTCTGTACTTTTTGTTAGCATCGCCCACATCAGTCGTATTTCGTTTAATTAGTTCCTATTACTTCTTCTCGTTGTACACTTTCTTCCCCGAAAATCTTCCCACTTCTTGATTTTCTTTACTTCTTTGAACTTCTTCTTCTTGTTCCCATCTCGATTTCTTTTTTTCGCATGTAAATGTACGCATTTGCAGACGACTGAGCACTAAACTTTGTCCCGAACAATTACCTCGTTCGAAACATTTAATCGCTTCAGTGTTTTTTTCTTTTTGTGCTCTGAGCTCCCCCCGTTGATCCGACCGAATTCGTCTGCTTCTGACAGCTGTGTGACGTTGGATTGAAGTTCTGCACATTGCCACGTGCTGTTTCTCTCCGGGAGTCCCCTTGTTACCTATCAAATTACTTATGTCGCTTTTGTGTCAAAAAAGAAGAACCCCTCTTTCTTTTCCTGAGCAAGGTTTTCTTCATTTATTATGCACTTTGTCGCCTTTTTTTTCTTTCTTGCTGCTCCTCCACTGACACCTTCTAATCATCTATGTTGTTCATCTCGGGAAAGAAGAAAAAAAAGAAGAAAGAGCATTGGTCTGCATACGAAACATCTCTAAAAGAACCAAATGCTGGATGGAGAATGAGTGGTTTTTGAACAGAAAGGTGACAAAGAAGGATACGTCAAAAATACTGGAAGGCCCGATGGATGGCTCCGATAGGAGGGAAAGTCTCCAGAGACTCGATTCTGCCGAATTCTCCCCACTTGAGCCTCCCGCAAACCGTTTCTCCTGGTTTTTTTCCCCGCCACTTCACTGACGACTACAGTAGTCAGTCTTAGCCGTTTCTGCAACTTTTCAAGTGTCCTGTTTTCTATCCCTCATGGTCTTTCTTGGGTTTTTTTCGGTCAAAAATGTGTTTTGATTGATGCTCTTATAGACTCATTCCATTTTCTCACTTCACATTCATATTCCGCCTCTTTTTTTTTATTCTCTGGTCGTTTCAATTTTATTAGCTAGCCGATAGGCAATCTCAGATTTTTCTTCAACGAAAAATAGGTTTTTAAATCTTAAGAATATAATTCTGGTATCAAAAAAAATTGGAGCTGTGGAAGAGAAACGCCGGTGACCGTGGTCGAAGGTCCCACAACAAATACCATAACCTAATTTTTTTTTGAATCTCAGGATTTAGTTTCTCGTTTTCTATGATTTTTGTCAGTTTTCTGTTGTTTTTCCTCGAAAATAAACAAAAAAATGACGGAAAACGGACGAAAATCGAGGTTACGGTAGTTGTCATAGTGGGACCTCCGGCAACGGCCAACGGGCTTTCTCTTAGAAAGCTCCAATTTTTTAAACCAGAATATTATTATTTTTCGTTTTTAAGATTTCCGATTTTCACGATGTTCCTAGAAGACGTTCATAAGCTCGTATCCACATCATACTTGTGGAAAAGATGGCCGGGCCATGGCCGGGCTGAGATTTTTCTAAAAGCGGGCCGGGCCGGAAAAAATTACACACGGCCCGCCTTTGAAAATTTTGAAATTTTAGAGCGAATCATCATTTTTCAAGATGATTTTTCTTCTTAGTGAATGAAAGTCCACACTAGAGGCCGATACTGTCGACAAAAACTGTTTTGAAGTCGTAATTAGAAAAAAAGTTTCATCCTTGGCTTAATGAAGTTTGATTTTTCTTGCTAAAAATTCAATTAAATTGACTTTTTCGGATGGTTGTATGCATTTGGATTAATATTTGTGCCATTATAAATATTTTGGCACATTCGAAAAATAAAATTTTCGAAAAGTTGTCCTAGGCAAGACGAGCGGGCCGGCCATCCACATGTATGATCCACATAAGGTTATTTTTCAACCTTGAGTACATCAGAAGGAAAAGATTCATCTTTTGAAAATGTGAAGACCAGTTCAGCCCCCGAGTTATTTTGTGGAGTTTGTACGGATGAAATGCAAGTGCTGAAAAGCTGAAATTCTCTTTTGAATTTAAGCAAACATCAAGACAATATTTTTCTCGAAACTACTTCTAGTCTTATCCATCCTGCCTGCAAATCATTTTAATGGACGATGTTTCCTAGAAGTTTGAGCATTGACCCCGATTAAGCCAGGAAGAAAAACCAGAAAATTTCTTCATGGCGTCATGAAGCTTAATCCTGCCTTATACCCATCTTTGTTTTTCTTTCCCAATGGCCGATGTATGCACTACCCATGTTCATTTTCGCACCGAAAATTCTGGAGAGTGGACGGCATTAGAAACTCCGAATCAGAATAATTCATATTCCCAAGATTCAATTTTTTTGAGATTTTTAGAGGATTTCTTCTCGGAAAAACCTGTAAAAGAAGGGCCCCCACACTACCAAGTTTGAGCTGGTTTTTCTAGGCTCCCGTGAAAAGTGTCAAAAACGTGTCAACCATTAATCAGTTTGAAATTTTTATATATCTTTTACAGTATAATAGTTCAAAGTAGATAAGTTCAGTAGATAAGATTACAGTAGATAAGTTCAAAGTTAAAAGATAAAGGGCCCTTCTATAAGAGGTTTTACAGTAGTATAAGTGTTCCTTTATCTGCTGAATTTTGTTTCTCTTCTGCTATAACATTCTTGTTTTTCTGAAAGAGGAAATGAAAAAAACGAGGAACGAGAAAATCCCGGTAAATAGATTAAGATGCAGACTTTGGTTCCAGAAGAAAGAACAATGCATATTTACGTACTTTGATTAAGTTCTCTGAATAACTACAGGGTCTATTCTAGAAACTTATGAGTCACATTACTCCGTCACGATGTTTCCCCGGGATCAAGTTTTCATCTCGGATTGGAAGTTCCCACGGTTTGCCGTCTATGAATTCTTTTGCTGGATGTTTCAATGATAGATCATATTTGGCGGGTGGTGGGACGTGATTCTTGGGGTTTTGACTTCAAGTTCTTTTTGAGTAGACACTTAGAAATCGGAATTACCCTTTTGGATTCAGAATTAATCCTAGTATTTCCTAATATTTTCTAGGTAAATCTCATTTGACCTTCTCACACGATCTAGGAAAGGTGGAAATTCTGAGAACTTATTTAGATTTTTTGCAGTCGAAGCTTTCCGGGTTTTCCAAATTTGAAAAACACTTTGAAATTTCAGCATTTTTTTTCAAATCTTTTCGGGAAATTTTTGTGAAGACTTCATTCTTTGCAACTTTTTCTTTGGCAGAGAATTTAATTTTTTAATTTGCCCAAACTTTTTTTTGAAAAGACAGGCCTGGGACGGGGCTTGAAAGTTCAACAAAAACCCTGGCCTGGCCCGGCCCGTTACTAGTATTTTATATTTTGTTCCAAAATGAGTAGGCGACGATCGTAAATCATATT